TTTGAAACATTTTCTCAACTTAGTTTTGTGGAATGGATTTCAGCCGATCTTAGCGGCAGTGTTAGTGGCGGTAGTGCCTCTTCTTCATGTCCTTCAAGATCATCTTCTATATCTAGATTTGTAAGGCTGCTTTATCCACACTGGAATGATTTCTCAAATGCACACACTGATGGACCTATTTTTAGTTTCCTATCCTTGGGAAGTAAAGGAGGCAGTGACTGTCAATCAATTTTTATTGTTGTTGCCATTTTAGAATAGCCTTTTGAGACCAGATTAGCATCACCCTGACTTTATTTGCAATACCCCCTTTTTAAAGCTTGGGACAAACATTGTCTGCCTTTTTCATGTTTCTCAAGCATTTCTTGAAAAAGCTGGATACAATCCCTTTCCTTGTCAGGCAGAACTGGTCTGTTGATCCTCACATCTCTCTGTTGACTATTGCCATGTCTAGTTTCATTCCTTTTCTGTGGACATTTCCTTTTTATATTCTTCCCTGCAACTAAGTTACTTAGTTGTTTTTCTGTGCTCCATAAATCCTTTGAGGATCCATGTCAGTTTAATATCCACTGTTTTACAACACATGAACCTCCTGCCCACTTTTATAATATCTGGCATCACAAACAGGATTAGAACACAATGCCTTTGAGGAGCTGAAGGCTGAAAGGGTTATTCCTGCTCCAGAGAATATATCTCAATTAAAATATGTATCTCACACTCAGTGACTGTAGTATGTAAACTTAACAAGATATACTTTTAATTTTTTATTTATTAAACACACTGCAAATCAGATATTTGAAGCTGTAGGATATTTTTCAATTCTGGCAACTTCTCACTTACTATGGTAAGTAATCCAACTAGGATATAGTAATACAGGTAGTCCTCGACTTATAACAGTTCATTTAGTGACCATTCAGTCACAGCACTGAAAAAAATGACTTACGACCATTTTTCACACGACCTTTGTAGCATCCCCATGATCATGTCATCAAAATTCAGATGCTTGGCAACTGGTTCACACTTATGACCATTGCTGTGGCCCAAGGGATCCCCTTTTGCAAATTTTTAGACAAGCAAAATCAACGGGGAAGCCAGATTCACTTAACAAGCATGTTACTAACTTATGTTACAACTGCAGTGATTCAGTTAACAATTATGGCAACAAAGGTTGTAAAATGGGCCAAAACTCACTTAACAAATGTCTCACTTAACAAATGTCTCACTTTTGGGCTCAGTTGTGGTTGTAAGTCAAGGACTACCTGTATATTGTAATTCTTATTTGTTTCACCTACTTGCAGGATCCACTTGCTTTGCAGGGTGCTCACCTTAGTTCTGACAGTAAGTTTATTAATCAGGTATTTTGTTTTTCGGTTGACTTGTTGCAAAAGCTAACACTGATTAAGGCTAAGAGGGAGTGACTGGCCCAAGTTCACTCAGAGGCTTCCATACCTAAGGGAGAATTAGAATTGCTAATTAACTGCTCCATCATATTAGGTATCCGGGCAGACTTTGCCATTTTTATAACTACTTCATAGTGAATATTAGAATTTTATAGAAATGTAGATTTGGAAAGCAAAAATGACTTGACAGGTGCACTGGCACACAAGTAAACCTTAAAGGAATGTATTTTTTCCTGAGTTCATACATTTGCCCTTCCTCATGGGAAACATGGTAAAAGATGCATTTATCACATCCATTTATAGTCTGAAACACGTTCCACCTTTAAACTGAAATTTCTGACTAGCCCTAGTAAGTGCACATGCACACACATATAAAGCCTATATATGTAAACACCATTATTAAATCATGATTTTTCAGATCCAACGTAACAATTTTGATTATACTTAATAAGTAAATTTAATAATTTGGAAAAATTGCTTTGAAGTACAAGGGAATTAGTCTGCCACTCTTTAAAATATAATACATTTTTTAGCAGTCACATGATCTTGGGAAAATACACCCATTTAAAAAAAATTGCAAATACAAACCTCGTTTATGTCCCTGTGTGCTTTGAAGCACTTTTTTGGAATCCAATCCAAACTTACTGCTCAACCTTAAGGCTAAGTACATCTATAACTACCCAGTTACTCAAATAAGTATCATTAATGGATATTGATATTCCAATGTGACCTGCCAATATGTTTTGGCCTGGTTCCAATTTAATGAGTAAACAGATAATATTTATAGTATTTATGTTTTATTGTATATTATACATAGTACTGTAAAATATAGATTAAAATATATGGAGACAAGGTATTACCACTGAAATCTGGAAACCAGTTATATATAAAATTACTTCTTTTCCTCATAGATATTCATAAATAATCATCTAATATAAAAGACTGAAATATCTTTTTATGTAATGCAATTTGTATCAGTATACTTCATTTAATAAGAGCACAGTGCTCTTATTAAATGAAGTATACTCTACAGCATACTGTTGATCTTATCCCTCAAGTGGTCAGATTTGTTTCCATTTAGAAAGAAAGTCTGACTTTTCAACAAACACACTGTAGATATTTATTTGTAATACTGAACTACTGTAAGGTGTTTTTTTAAACAAAATAAGCAGTTTCATTATAGCTCATGTTCCATTTTTCAACGTAAATATACTACATGAATTATGCATCAATTACAACATGCTATTAATTTACATTTGCAAACTTCTCATTTGCCATGTTGAGAACTAACACATTTTATCAATAATCTTCTGCCTTCAAATATTCAGTTTTATTTAATTAGTATACAAAACTCTGTTCCCAATAACTTTGTTTAAATTCAACTGGAAAAACATGTACTTTGACAAAAAGATGAGTATCAAAGTTGCATTCTCCAATACACTTGCAAGCGAATTCTAGGCTACACCATAACTAACTTTAATTGCTTCTCAGAAACAGGTCTCCTTAAAAGAAACTGATTTATTTCTACATAAAAAAGTTAAATTCAGGCTGTACCTTTTATCTGCCAGATTCTTCTGAACAACTACGTCTTATCAAAACTGAAACAATATAACATTTTCCCCAAGTTTTAAAATACAAGCATATACACATTCATAACATTCATATTTCAATGGATTCCACCAACATAAAAGCTCTCAGGGTTTTATTTTGTTTTTCTATTTCAAAAGATAGATTTGACACAGTTTTATTCGTACCTATATATATCAAAAACTTTGTCCAATCAATTCAGTGCCTATTCATACATAGAATATGGCATAAAATCAGGCACTATTCTATAAAATCAGTGAGTTATGATACCTGCATTACTCTAGACAACAAACGAATGCAAGTCTGATTGTTTTTGCAGATCATCTTAAAAATGAATTTTATAAATGATTGCTGATACAATATAGCTATTTTTCATATTTTAATTTAATCACTTTAGAAACCTAACCATTTGAAAATATGTATAACTGAATAATAAAGCCAGTAAGCCAGTAACTATTATTAATACATTGCTGCAATAAACCTTTCATACAACTAATATCTTCAATTTTCTGAAAATAATTTGCAAATAAATTGATTGATATTCTTAATTCCTTTAGTATTTATTTAAATTATGCAAAGGATGTGTTACTATATTGATGTATCAGTTAGACAGCCCAACTGCAAGCATTTTTATACAGAACAAGATTTTAATCAGGTCAATGGGACTTTGCTTACGTAAGTTTGTATTCCCAATTTTATCTGTCAGTTTATTAATACTGAATCAAGATAAACAAATGGAATTTACTCCTACATAAATGTGTTCATGTTTTAGAAGTAATGGGGGTAAATGATTTTCAAACTGCACCCTCCAAATAATTTCTTTCCAAGCAGTCTTGTTGGGTCAGTGATATATGAATTACATATTTCCTCAAGTTTGCTATGCAACTTTATTCCATGATTCTGGAAAAATATACAAATCTTTGCTATTATGTTGTCATGCCAGTCTCCACTTTTCTACCAACTTAATTTATAAAGCTTTCCTCTAATACTACCAGTTATTGCAGGTAATACATACAAACTTTTGCATCATTATAAATGCAAGCACAAAGTATTTCAAATTGTAGACATTATGAAGTTGTGACAAATCAAATGGCTGTGTACATGGTTAAATTTATGAAATGCAACTGCTACACACTTGTGTGTCTATTAGAGAAACTATCAATTTCTTTTTTTATTATACTGTCTATTTAATCTAAATAAATATTGCCCGAGTATCACAAAAACTGCAAATATGCAAAGTTTAGTAATCTAATCCTTATCCTACCCTTCTTTGCTCAAAAAGGCTATACGATGTGGAGGAACAACATAGTTTACATCCATTTATTAATTGGTCTGTCTTTTCAAATTTCAACACAAAGCAACTGCAGAGTTTCACGTACAAATAATTCATGTCTGGTCCAATGACTAAGCACTATTGAAAAAGTTATGCTTTATAATATTTAATGACTGGGTAGTAACATTAACAATTGTTCAAACCAAAATAAAAACCTACAATTTATCAACATCCTTTAGCCTCATAATTGGACACAAAAAGGTAGGAGTCAATAAATTATTTCACTCTTTACTAAATTATTATAACAAAAATGAACTTAGAAATAAAGAGAAAATGTATGTGTGTGCTGGGGGGAAATATGAGGCTCACAAGGAAACAGGTATGGGAGAAACACTGTCAATCTGTCTGTCGCAGACACCTAGTGGGCAATAACAAAATCCCAACATCTTTCTTCTTACAATTAAGTTCTGTCACTGTCAATTTCTTAAGACCATCAGTGCTCCTGTGAGATATATTTCCATTCAGGTAAACTTCCTTCAAACACCCATGCTGTTTCAGTGACCTGCATACAATTAGTAAAATATCTTGCACCCCTAAACAGTATAAGAATACCTAGTATCATCTCTGCCATCGCTTACAGTTCTGCAGCCAACACTCAAGAGAACTTATTTGGGAGAGAGAAAAAAATATATCTCATAATGTAATTTACAAAGAGTGGAAACGCCTACAAGGAGCTGAAGTACCTGCACTGGGGAGATGTTCAGTTGTTCACTTCATCTTCCGTTGACAAGGAAACCAAACGGCACTTCATTCTCCAGGAAAACCTTCCACTGCCATCTTTTGAAAATATATTTATTTGTATATATGTGCATAGCTATCAACATTAAGATAATTATCATAAAATTATCTCTGTATAAAAATATTAAAAAGTGAAACTCTGGAAAGGAAATATTTTTTGGCTCTCTCCCTCTCTCTTTTACTACACGGCATTTTTTTTGGACGGGGGGAGGAAGAATTTAAAAATGCTCAACAGTACCAAGCTGCAAGAAAAGTTTCACATTATAAAATCAGAAAAAGAAGAAAAACGGCTGATTCCAACCGGATGTCCAAAAAAAGAAAAAGAAACAAAACAATAATAATGAAAAAACATTTAACAAAATTAATATCTTGCTCGGTGGCTTGCCCAAGGCATTGCAAGATCACAAACTGTTTGTAAACGTTGCTGTAAAATGCATTTTTAAATCCCATATATATACACAAAAAAAAGCAAAAAAAGAAAACACCGTCAAAAATCTTTGCAAAAGAGAGTTAGTTAAGCAACGTGCCCACTTCTCATCTCTTTGCTTTTTTTAAAAAAAATGCATAATAATTTACATCGCTTTTTGTTCAGTACAAAACCAGTTGCATGTGTATATATACGTAAATAATGTGTATGCATTTACACTGTTGCTGGACTGGCAAGTCTATTTTTTTTTTCGCCGTTTCTTTTTTTCTCTTTAAGATTCCTAGCGACTTCCAGTCCCAGCAACACCTTTTGCTCCCAGTTTAGTAAACCATCGCATGCTAAGAAAAAAAAAAAAACTTGTCATCAGAAAAAGGATCAAATCCATGAAAACAAAGAGGTAAAAATAAAAAAGCAGCAAAAACAAAAAAAAGGAAGAAGAAAACAGGACAAAAAAAGGAGGACAAGAATTTCAGCGGAAAGGTACTCACCGAGCGGGAGTAAAAGGAAGGAATAAAAACGCGAGTTACTATAAAATACAGTATGGCGGTGGAAGAAGGAATGAAGCGCTTTTTTTCCCCCTCTTTAGTCTCTGCCTCAGGCAATTGCCACGTGATTCTGAGCCAGGCTGACTCGCAGGCAGGGGGAAAGGAACGGGCGGGGAAAGGGGCAAACCCCACCGGAGGAGCCCGACTCGCTCGCAACAGCTCGGCGGCGGCAGCTGGAATAGTGGCGCCCGTGGCGGCAGCGGCGAAGGAGGCTTGGAACCGCTAAGCAGCGGCAGCGGCAGCAGCAGCAGACTTTAGCCTCGGCAGCAATGGGTGGCGCTGGCGACAGCAGCAAACAGCAGCAGCAGCCAGACGAGCAGGTGCCCCGCGCGCAGCACTAGACAAATGCGGGCGCGCGCGCGCTCGGTGGAAGAGCAGCCAAGGCAGAGGGCGCGGGAAGAGGAGCCGGGAAAGAGGAGGAGGAGGAGGAGGAGGAGGCGGGGGCGAAAGCCGACGCAAGGAGGGAGCGAAGTGGCGGCGACGGGGCTGGGGGGAGGCAGAAGAAGAGAGGACCCCCCCCCTCCCCCGCTCACCCACATTCTCTGAATAGCAGGCGCGCGCGTGTGTATATATGTATATGTGTGTGTGTGTCTTTGGGTGTGATTGCGCGCGCATGTGGGGGAACGGGTGGAAGACACGCACTTGGAGGTGCGGTGGCCGCAAGTTGGTGCTGCTTGCCGTATCTGTGCATCTGCGTGAAAGAAAGAGAGAGAGAGAGAGAGAGAGAGAGCAACCGCCGGGATTTCATGGCCGTTGGCAGGATGAAAGTTACTCCTTCTTTCGCCTTGCGCTTGGCTGCGGAGCGCGTTCCGGGACGGCCTTCGACGTTGGCGATGAAAAGAACCGGGACTCCTCCTTTGGCACCTGGAAGACTAAAAGGACTTAGGATGGCGAAAGCCCCTTCACTGTGTGCGGGTTTCCCGGCTTGAATTCGGCGATAGTGCCTAGAAAATCCGGTTCCACGGCACCTTCAGGTGTCCCAGGGGTCCCGTTTGGCCGTCAAGATCCTTGTCTTCTTTTCTTTCCAAGATTAATTCCATTTCCCTCCCCAGGAGGAAAGGCTTTTTCTTCCCGTTTTGAAGAAGAAATGATTTTAGGTGGTATTAGACTTGAGACGTGCTCTGTTATCAGTACAGAAATCTTAGCTCCACAGAAGGAAAATGTTTTTTTTTCTAAAACAAAAATGAATTTAGATTGATCTGCAGGGGAGTTAAGAATAAACAACCTTTTTTGTTCATTGCATCTCCCCTCTGAAATTGATAGCAAAGAATATTCTAGTTTGGCTTTTCCAACTATGCAACCCATTAATATTTATAAAATCTAGGGATTGAAACTATTTTCTTTGACAGTTCTACCTTTGTTTTGAGAGTGGTTTAATAATTCAGATAAATTCCTTTCCTGACAATTTTCTTCTTTAGTGGAAGGTATTTGGAAATGGCATATAAAATGTAAAGAGTCTCTAACAGATCTCGTTTCACCAGTCTTCAGTGACAAAAACCAGTGCAGTATCTTAAGAATCTACTAGAAAGTAAATCTCATTTTGAATTCATTGTGTACCTATGTTTAGAATTAAATTGTAAAACTCTTAAGCTTACATTAATCTACAGTTTTTGAGAATTTACCTGAAAGTAAATTCTATTCAGGTTATTAGATTTTTGATGAATCCTAGTGCCAACATGCTTATCTATTAATTCTATATCTTTTCTTCATTGATAAACATGCTACCTTCAGAAGGATGATTACACATGAAACATATCATTAAAATCATTATTCAATAAGATGTTACATAATTAGCTTCTATGAAACAAAACAATCAGTCATTGATGCTGAATAATGGATGAATTCATTTGTCTTCCATTATATTCTGATGTCTTTTTTGCTTTTTTTTTTTTTACTTTTTGTGTGTCCCAGGGAGATGAATGCCATCTTGAGTTCTTTGTGGAAAGGTGGTTTATAAATCTAACAAATAAACTCTGATAAATGCTCTGTCTTCCTGTTCTCCCATCATTTTTAAACCTAGTACTCCATAGAGAACTGTAGGAAATAATAGCAGCTTCATCTCTATAGTGTATTTTGTCCAGTGCTTTCTTTATGAGTAAAACTTTATTCATAATGCGTAATAATACAAATAGTTGTTTTATATGTAAAAGAGAGAACTTTTATAGCAATGGCAAGAACAACTATGGTGCTCCTAGGCTACGTGACATTTATGGAACCAGCACTATATTAATAGCTTGAATCAGTGGAAAATATATTTATTTAAACGTTTTTAAAATTATTTTTAAAATAAGAAAGAGGTCAAGATATATATTTATGTAATCAAAATTTGAACTGCATCTATTTAATGAAAATGGCCCTATACTAGTCAAAATCAAGTCAAATCCCCTAATGACCATGTCCAGGTAGTTTTTTAAATAGTATTACAGAAGGGGTTTACCAATACCTTCTGAGATTTTTTTTTCAACTTTCCAATATATTGTTACACACTAACATTATTTGGAGTTCCCAGTCCAAGTAGCCGAGTCATTAAGATTTGGGCAGAATACAAAATTAATGAATAAACAAGATGTATATAATTTTGAAACTTGGTGACGGCTGGGGAGAATGAAGACATGAATTATCAAGCTTGCATGGAGTTGATCCAATTCAGAAACCCCAACTAACTGCAGACAAGGTATTGATGATGCCCAAAAGCAATTTGCAATTTTCAAAGAAGCATGAAGTTACAAGGATAGAAGACGTTACACCCAAATCTTTGGAAAACAAATGTTGTCAAGCATGATTCTTAGAAGAAGTTCCTCTCTTGTCTTTGATAACTTTCTCTGAGAATGGAGTAAAACACAAAAAGATGAAGCTTTTTTTTTATATTAATTAAATTGGGACCATTGAGATGAAAAGTTGGAAGCAGGGTCATTGGGGAAATGTAAAAGTATAATGCTATAGTTCTTGATTTTAAAGGAAGTTTAGTGTGGCTTAGTATGTACCTTAAACTTAAAAAAAAAGAAACCAGATTTTAATAAACTCAGAGAAATCCTATGGCAGAAGAAGCTAATGAAAAGAAATGCTCAAGATAGTTAGAAAAGAATATTAAAAGCATAAGTATGAACAATTTCAGTGAAGAAAAGGGAAACCCTGAAGGAAAAGCTTAATGAAAATCTGAAAAGAAAAAAGACATAGGAAACAGAAGATCACAAAGGAAGAGTACAGAAAGGTAGCTCAGAACTATGGAGCTGGCATCAGTAAAGAAAAAGCTTAAAATGAAATGATGTTAGCAAAGGATGCTTACTACAATGTAATAGACTTTTTTAGATTATGTTCAAAATGAGGAAAAGAAAAGAGTCAGTATACAAACGGATTCTTGGTGAAAAGAGCAAAATGATAACAGAAAACAGAAAAAGCGGAACAACTTTCCTATAGAAAGGCATGTGTAATGTGTTCCATATAATGACCATATAGATTTTGTCCACAGTACAATGTGACAATACAATATAAATATTAAAAATACATATACATACATAAATATATGTTATATTTGTTAGGTAATAAGTGCTCTTTTTTAAAAAAAAATTCTGTATACTTCCATATTTAATAGGTATATCTGATGAAACTAAGTTGTATCTTTCAAAGTCTTAACCCAGAATATTGGTTTTTGAAATAGAATAATAATTTATGTCTGTAGATGGGGTGATCAAACCATTCTTTCAAATGTGTCTCCAAACAATATAGAAAATGAAAGTTAATAAAAAAAATGTGCACTATTTCTGTAGTTTGCAATAGATTTAAAACAATATCTGCCTTTTCTGTGCAGCAGAAATTGGCATATTTAATACAGGAAGAAACAACATACACTCGTGTAAGGGTAGAGATGAAGATGGATAAGAAGAAATGTAAAAGAAGAAGAAGCAAAGAAAAAGTATTAATTGTGCGATTTAAAAAAATATTTCGGGTCAGAATTCATAACAGAGAAAAAAGTATTTGCCAGCTATATTGATGTTAATGTTGCAGCATCACTTAGGGTTGTATGCTCTTTTCTTAATTATTTCAAAATATGTTCTTTGCTACCATTATACTTAAGCAGAGATTTAAAAAACAATGAGTTTTAATTATAATTGTGACAAGCTTGAAAGTCAAAGTTGTTTATGTGAGAGTAGAACAGATCATGCTATAAAACAATACAACATAAATATTTACAGGGCTTTTGATTAAAGGCAATTTTGGGCACATTGAACTTAGTAATTTCTTCCCCGTTGCCCCCTCTGGGAATAGAAAAGGATAATTCAAATCAGAGTGCCCTTTGCAGATGCTGAATTTTATAGGAAACATCTAAAACATTAAATGCTCTCCAGCACAGAGGTTTTTTAATTTAAAATCTACATTAATGTTTAGCTCTTATATTGTTTTCATGGAAAAGGAAAGCATTGTGATGAAGTCATCACAAAATAACTACTGAAAGGTTATAAAGGGAACTAGGAATCAGAGATTTCACTTAACAGATGGTAAGTATATTGTACATATGTGTCAATCACAAACATAGGTTCTTTGTACATTGTTAATCAGATTTCAAGCTAAGGAAGTATTTCCTAGCTTTCAGATGTTGGAAAAATAACAAAGCAGCTACTGTATAGTGCTAAATGTAAGGACCAAGATATTGTAAAGAATAGGTCATAAGTGATAGTCTGGAAGCTGGAAATCAGAAGCATGTTGAGGTCAGGATAAGAAGGCAAAACCAAAAATAAGCTAGAAGTTAATACGAAGGAAACCAGAATGTAAAACAATTGCTAAGAAAGACTCTTCTGAATGGAAAGCTAATGAGAGTTATTCTTTACCAAATATTCTTTTGGAAGCAGACTCAGTTCAAGCTAGAAGATTCTTTGTGAAGAAAGTGCCACTTACAGTTCAGTAATTAATTGCATAAGGCAGTACTGTAATCACAAATTTCTGACAGCTAGCAAGGGCTTAAAGATAGATAAGCTTCTATCACACACCATCAACAGGAAACCAGTATCTATCAGACTCCCCAGCTCAAACTTGACAGAAGCTATCGAACCCAGCACAGCTAGATAAGAATCTTGAATGCAGTTGACTGCCCACTGTCAGTATAAAATATGTTCCTTCTTATACCCAGGACACTTTTAATCAAGCACTGCTTTTTCTCCACTTTTTCCACAGCTCATTTTGTGTTTTACTTAGTAATGGGTGAGGGATATTGTTGATATAACTAGCATAACTAGCATTCCCTGCTCTGGGAAAGTAGATCTCAATAAAACTTGCTCAGTGTAGGTGTTTAAGAAACATTATCTTAAATATTTAGGGCAAGCATTCTTAAGCTACTGAAGTAGTAAGAAACAGAATAACAGAGATGGAAGGGACCTTGGAGGTCTTCTA